GCGTGGCTGGATTCTTGATGTCTCTCATCCAATTGGCTTACAAATGTGGTGGAATGTGTACAAGTCTTTGGTAGATTATAAGCTGTACAGATTATACACAATTTGAAGACATTGTCTCTATTTCCATATTGATTTTATGACGAAACAATCGACAACAAAATTGTAATGGCTCTCGAACTTTACTTGTACATAATAGCTTGCAGTACCCCAGTATGCTTTCCCAAAAGCGTTTTTTCCACCTGTTTTGCATTCAGAACTGACACTGATGCTTCAGACACCATCATTCATGCCAAAATCAATTCGTTTTCGATATCTTAATAATCAAAACGGATTTTCAGACTTTTTCTAATTTACAGAACTCTTAGGAAAGCTATCTCATAAAGATCCAACATGGCCGGTCTTGCCGATTTGGAGCAGCTAATCATATATACATGATTATAAATAGCCTAAATAGCTTTTCTTCCTTATATTTTTTTGCAGACATCATTTCTATTTCTATCATTGCTATTTCTGTAGCACCCATTGATTTAATATTAAAATTAAAACCTTTCTCAAACGTGGATCACATAACTTAGATCAGATCCTATTTTTGTAGGACCCATTGATTTAATATTAAAATGAAAACCTTTCTCAAACGTGGATCACAAAACTTATTTCCGAACAAGGTTCAGGTTTGTTGCTTGTAATGAGAAGAGATTTGTGGTCCAAATGTGTATCACCACGTCTGAGGCCTCAGTCCATTTATTTTTTGCTAAACTGTTATCTTTAACCTCCTGATTGAAAGATTAAGAATTCCACTATTATTCAGACATTTAGGGAATAATTATGCTAAGCCATGAATTAGCAAAATCAACTTTCACGTACCACACAAAAACGGGGGCGTCAGTGCTCATCAAAACTTCATTTTCAGAATAATATCTTTGACTCCATAGATTCAATTATCATTTAGTTTTGCGCTCCAGATACTCGTATTAACGCGTTGAGCAAAAGCTGGCAAAACAAATTTCCATGCTGGCTTCTTTTTTTTGCGAGTTTGCTATCAAAAAGTCATTGGCTAAGCAGAAACTAGGATACTCGTATAATGAGGAAGTTCCAGCTCATTACATGCCGTAGGAAAGGGGGCTGAATTATCAATATTAATTAGTAAGTATTACGTGACAACTTGCTAGCCCCAATTGCAGATTCGCAATGTAATTTAGTGATTCATCAGCACGGGACTCGTGGAAAGCCGCGCTTAATTGTTTTCGATTTTCCGCCATGGGGCCGGTCGGACAAAATCAAACTTGCCCGCGCTGCTCGGATTAATAAAGTGATTGGCAACGACATTAACATTTTCATCAGGCACACAATGTGCATTGCCTATTTCCCCCCAACCACCCCAGCGCCGAGCCGGAGAGAGTTGACGGAGTAATCCATCATCATTGCCAGGGGGAGGCATTGAATTTTTATTATTATTATTATTATGTATTTGTGCGTTGACGGCGCAGGCTGAACCAGAAGCGATGACGATGACGACGACGACGATGGCGATGGACTATCAACGATTCCGCTGTGTTAACCATTTATCGCAATTCATGGCGCACGTTTCTCATTAGTTCGAAGTCGTTGCCGTCAAAATACCGTGGGCTATACGTCTAAATGGATGACTGAAATTTGAACTTAGAAAGCTTAGAGTAGAATATAAACTTATACTCATTTTCTTCTTTGCCTTCAATTCCATTTAAATTCGGAATCTTAATAAAACATAAATCGGGAAACAATCCGTGCAGTTTTTTTGTGCTTGCATTTTAATCGTTCTAGATAGAGGTGGAATTGAAATTGCTGTTTTATCTGCCAGTATTGAGTTCCAGTGAATTCGTTTTCTTTTTCATCAGGAAATACTAAAACTACAATATTCTTACCAATTTGTAATCTCAATCTTTCACCAGGGACTAATCATCCAGCGTAAATCCTTAATCGAAATTACCTGGCGAAAGTACCTGCAGTGCAATCTGAAAACTAAATTCTTAGTTACATATTTTGTTATCTGACTGCCAGATTAGTATAGTAACATATCTAAATAATCTGGTTCTTTCGACTGAAACTTTTGTGAGTCGTACGTCTCGAGGCGGCTGGTATTTCTTTACTTTTTATGAGATAGAGGATTTGCCGGTCCAGCATCTCATGTTGCAGTCGTGCTAATTGGATAGTAGAAGTGTCAAAGGATCCAAAACAGTCACCTTCTTAAATAAAAAAACAACAGCCGTAGAACAATTAAGTTTAAAAAAGAATTTCAAAGGATTGAACTCCCAACTTTAGGCCAAAAAACTAACATGCCCTTCTATACACTACCAAAACGTCCGAAGTCTTTTGGGAAAACTAAGTACATTTTACATGAATAGTGCCTCTTTTGAATCCGACGTCATTGTATTAACTGAAACCTGGCTTAATAATACTGTTTTTGATCAAGAAAATCTCGTTAATAAGTTCATTACATATAGAAGGGACCGTCCAACTCTGGTGGTGGAGTTCTAATCGCTGTTCTCAACTCCTATAATTCCGAACTGTTTCCATTTAACAATATTCATGAAATCGCATTTATAGCTGCAAATATTACAATCGGGAAAATAGATATTTACTTGTATGTAACTTGCTCGTACATCTCGCCTAAGTCTGATTTATCTGTCTATTTGAACCACCACCTCTCTTCAATACAAATGTAAAATGATTTCTTGGATTGCAGTATTTATTCGAACATCTCTAGTATTATAAATGGACAGACATATCTTATGATATTAGTTCAGCATTCGCATTTTTGAGTCCACTGTACACCCTTTTGCTTGTTTTGGCTGTGGGTGGAAAATGGTGATAATCTGCCTGACTTTTCCTACAACCGCTGCTGCTGACAAAGGCAACTTTCTCTCTTTATTCCTCCCGCGGCAGCAGTGGCTTTTCAGCGACCCACCAACTTACTGGGAACACGTTTAATCTGCTTGCCACAGATTTCTATCACTGTCATGGCTGTACTTGTTGTTGTTGTTTTTGTTGTTGTCGTTGTCGCTTGGCTGTCAACGTTGTTGGCGCTGCTGCCATTGTCATGTGCCCATCGATATACAAGGCGTCGACTCTCAAACCAATGTGGCTGTGGCTGTGGCTCTGGCTTTGGCTCTAGCTGTTTTTCCTTTGAATTAACATCGGCAGCCGCCTCCTTGCTGCGCTTGGCTCTGCTCCTCTCCCGCTGTTGCCAGTCCTGCCGCTTCTTTTTTTAATGATACACAATTAGTGCGATGATAAATGGTCTGTCAAATGCAGCATCAATGGCCTGGCCCAGCACCCACGAGCCCAACCAAGCACAGTTTTTCTTAGTTTTTCCTTCTTTTTTTTGTGAGTGTACGCTCGTTTGACTCCTTTCTACTTAGGCTGCCTTTGATGCCCTTGTTGTTAATGTTGTTGCTGCCGCTGTAGTTGTCCATTGATATCATCAGTTTTTTGTAGTTAAAGCGAAATATCCCTTCAGACAGTTGAACAACAACAACAACAACTAGTGCAAGGGAAAAAGAGAAAAAATAATGATAGCAGCGCCAGATATTGGATATTAATTGTTACAAATAACAAGACGTTCCGTCTTAGCTTGGACTCTGTGGCGCCTCTGCACAAGTGAAAGACGACGAAATCAATTAAAATGACTGAAATAAATTGTAGACACAACGCCGAGTAAATGCTCAACTAGCTGCCTGCAACGATGCCTGACTAGATAGCTGACTAAGCTGAGCTGAGCTGAGTGTCTGAGCGCTGACGAGCAACGTCTGATTAGCGTCGTCGTCCTCGTCTTCGTCCTCGTCGTCGTTGTAGTTGCCTTGGCTTTTGCCCTAAAGACTGGAGCAAAAAGTATAGCATAAAATATTGCCCGCTTGCTGGCACAGGTCTTTAAACCAAATACATACAAGTATGAATCATTTTTTAAGCATACTTATAAAATGTTGTTCAGAAGAAAAATATATTCACAGTATATATATCAGGTTTAGTCAAACTCAAAGCTCTACAAATGCGCGACACTGTTTCATTTTCTTAGACAAGTGATTGGTTATTGAAAGAAAATGCTGCAGAAGAGCAAGTTCCATTCGCATGGCAAATAATGCTGGAAGTTAGGTTTGCTTTGGCATATAAGGATTGCCATTTTAGAAATGTTTTGTTGATGATTTGAGACTCTGCCTTGTAAATCAACTTAAATGCATGATCATCTAGTCCAAAAATATTCAAAGTGCGACTTTAGTCAGTAAAGGGCCAGACACCATATCGTTTAGTTAGTGTCGGACCATCAGCAAACACTTGAAATTCGATCGGCCTATAATCAGTACTAGGCTGAATCAAATAATCCGTCAATCCATGGCGAACAAAGCCTACATTATGGCAAGCATTCGATGGCAAAGTAAATGCAAATGCAAATGCAAATGTGATACCTACCTTATGTAATTGGCCGTGGCAAATTATCGTTGCAAATCAGCTTGCCACATCAGCAACAGCAACGGCTCAGATAACAGGGCGGCAATGTGCTGGGCCGGTCCCTAAGTCGTGTGATTGGGTTTGGTGTTCGGTTCAAGCGATTGCCAAACGTCGCCCGACATCAAAGAGAACAGCGGGCGCACTTATAATTTCATTTGCATTGCAATCGATATGCGATATGTGCGTAGCGACTCTGGCAACTGGGCATTGTAGTCGAACGGGCGATCAGAACGATGTGTATGGGTTATGAGGCGAACATTTATGAGGCACACATTTAACATTTGAGTTCTATTATTAGTTTTTGCGGTCGAATTCAATTCGAATGCAATCAGAATACTGTTACCCGCATTTGCGGTACGAATGAGCCATCGAGCAGCAAACCGAGTGGTTGAGTTGATTCCGTCAAATGAAAAGTGGCATTTCTTTGTTTTTATCTTTTTGGGTTTTTATTGGTAGTTTTTTTTTTACTTTTTTTACTGCATTTCGCTTAAACAAATATTGCTTGATTTTTGAGAATTTCAATGCACGATGGAGTAATCAAATGTTCCAAAGTGTTCGTACTTTCCCTCAAAGTATTTGGCGAAGGTGTCGTAGTAGTAGACCTTGACGTCCTTGAAGTAACCGTTGGGCACAAAGAATGAGTATTCCTCAATGGGGCGATCGAAGGGATAGCCGAAGGGTTTGCTATCGACGAAACGGGTTCCAGAGCCAATGCCGGCGGAATAGGTGAAGTCAAAGTTGGAGTACTGCTCGTATTCCTCGGCATAGGGGCTGACGAAGAAGTAGAACTGCATGGGGTAGCCCTGTTCCGAGCCCTTAGGCAAGACCAAGCGATCGGGGAAGGCACTGTGGGGCTCGCTGATGTCCAAGGGGAAGTCGTATTTGCCTTCGCTGGCCAGTAGCACGTAATTGTACAGCTCAGTGTAGGTCATGCGATCCTCAGCAGTACGTTCGAAGTCCTTGGAGCTGCGCTTGATCACGTTCTTGCCTGCAACGAACGGATAGACAAAGCTGTCGATCTGAACAAAGTTCTCACGGTTGTATTGCAGAGGAATGACGCGTCCGAACTCGTCGAATTTGGGACCCAAGAAGACTCGTACAACACCCTTCTGGACCTTGTTGGATTCGATGGTGAACTCGAAATTGAAAGGCTTGTGGTTGAGGCGTGCCTGACGTGCCAACAGAGTCTTGTCCCAGACGAATTCGCCATCAACAAAGGTAATCTTATCGTTGAGCAGATTGGTGACATCAAAGTCAACCAGATCGAAGTAGGTGACTAGTTTTTCAACCTGGACGTCCTTGATGGTGATGCCCTCGTAGTACAGATCCTTCTGGGCGTATGGTTTCAGGTAGTACTTGAATTGGTAGAACACATCGGTGAACTTCTTGTAGAAGGTGTAGAAGAAGGGATCGCGCGCCATGGTCTCGAAGTTAAGCAGCACATTGGGGAAGACCTCGAAATCGTAGTAGTCCACATCAGCGAAGTACATATGGGCCAGCAGGTACCAGTAGTTGAAGAAGTATCTGTCGAAGGTATCAGCATTGCCTTGCATGTAGTTGCCAATGTAATTAATAGACGCAGCATTGTGCAAATCGATGACAGTGCCATCCACTGTCTTGTAGTAGCCAGTCTCGAGCACATTGTACAAGCGGCTGAAGAAGTTCTGGATCTGGTTGAGCATTTCGAAGTTGCCGTATGTCTCGTACTCGAAGTAGTTCTTGCGGTAACTGTAGCCGACACCGTTGTAGTAGATCAGCTGGGGATCGTAGCCGTATTCGATCTGCTTGTACCAGAAGAATTCTGGAATCTCGCCATAGCCGTTGGCCAAACGCTCCTGATAGTAGCGAGCCAAGATCTGTTGCACCGTGTAGATCCAGTATTCACCGCGACGATCCTTGTTCAAGCCGAATTTGTTGCCATCCAGGAAGAAGGCGTAGTCCATGTTAAGGTAGTACCAGTATGCGTTCCATCCCAAATCCTCGGTGAAGTAGCTCAGTTTTGTTTCGTCGTTGAAGAAAGCAATGTCGCGCGTGTAGTCCACAGGCATGTAGAACTTCTTAATGCCTTGCACGATATCCAGCCACTTGGAGTCCTTGTTGAATTCAGCAACGTTCTCGCGGAGGAAGAATTTGTCCTCAACGTACCAGTGCTCGCCAAGTCCCATCATCTTATACCACTGCCATGTCTTCCAGTCCCTGGTTTGGAAGTAGTAGTTGTCGCTGTATTGGCTAACATCGTGGTACAGAATGTCCTTGTATTCCTTCTCGTACTGGATCAACTTGCTGTATACATCATAGTCGAATTTCTCAGCTTCATAGATGAATTTGCTGTTGAAGAAGTACTGTGGGAAGATTTCATAGATCATGGGCAAGATGAGGCCCTTGAATTCAGGCTTGTGGATGACAGCCAGAGTCAAGGCGTAGACAAACATGCCCTCGTTCACATGAATACGAGCCCAGGCGACATTCTGCGCGAATGTTTCCCAGTCCTTGGCGTAGTAGAAGAAATTGAACAGACCCCAGGCCTGCGTGTGATGAGTCTTGACGAGGGCACCAAAGAATTCCTCCTTGGGCAGCAGCACTCCCAGCTTGTAGGACTCCCAGAATTTCTCCATGTAGTAGTCGAATTCCTGCAAAAATAGAAATCCCTTTGTTCACATGTCTCAGATGCAAGCAACCACCTTTAGAACTCACAGTGTACTGTGCCTTGTCAACAACCAAATTCTGGCCTATCTTGATCCATTCCTCGAACATCAAGGGATCCTCGACGCGGTACACAATCTCGAACAGAAACTTTTGCCTTTGCAAGAACTCCTTGTTCGCGATTGTAACCTGTGGTGTGGGTACGCTGTAGGTGACCACACAGCCCACAAGGGCCAGCAGCACAATAGTCAACTTCATGTTGGTCCTTCCTTTCCTCCTTTGAGTGTCCTGTCTTGCTCAACTGCTCCGGTGCTGGTTAGCTCACTAAGCGCCAATACCTAAAGACTGTTGCTGTTGGTGTCTGAAGCTCCAGCATTTATAGGCGGCTAGGCGACTAGGCGCTAGATCCCCTGGCCCCGGCCCATTGCGCTATCGCCCTTCTGGCATCGGCTGTTGCTGTTGCAGCAGTTCAGAAATAAATCTGCACATCGTATCAGTCACAGACAACAAGAAAAGAAAATACCGTAGCCTATGGTCACGTACACGTATGTATTGAAACGTCTACAAAAATAGCATCGAGACGCTCTGCAAGCTGCTTATCAGCGTAGGGAGGTTGCCGTGTGGGGCCAGGTGTGATAAGGCCATCGTTCAATTGCAGTCCCATTCCAGCTATTGTGTAATTTTGGCAATGACTTTAGCAAATTTAGTTTGTCCTAATTCAGATGAATCTGTATTATCAATGGACTTTCACATATATGCGCTGATAAGCTTTCTCATGCATAATGCGTCAATATATTTGTTGCTGCTATTTGCAGCGACACGAAAATGTCTCGTTTCAGTTTTTATTTCAATTTATAAGTACATAGATTGGCAGTATGTGGCAAACAATGCACTATAGAAACCGGATTCTTCCAGCATTCCGAAAGTAATTCTCAACAAATGACGTACTTGAAAACGGATTATAAGAAAACCACGCCCCTAATTACAAACAATGCACATATATTAACATCAAGCAGTTCATCAGTAAAAAAAAAAAATTTAATGACGCACTATTTCGCCTTGAAATGGTACTGAGTTGGATTTCTTGAAGTTTTTTCATTGATCACATGCATACATTATTTTTTTAATGCATCGTGCACTATCTAATCAAAATGCCAACATTAAATAAGTAATTAAAATGCAAAGCATAAATATATATGTATCTGACTTTAATAAAAATTGCTCATCTCTTTAACGGTGTAATCGAAAGTAGCTCGATGGAATGTCCTCCTTTAGTCTAGGATCTAACCAAAAATGTTTGCCATTTGAGAAACATCTCATTTCCTTGATACCTATAGTCGTTTTCTTGTGACATTTTGAAAGGGGTCTAAATAAAAGTCAAAAGGCGCTAACAGAAATCTAAAAGCCACACTAAATACAAAATAAAATTATTTTTGTGCCTAACTTTGCAAAAGTATAACTTAAAAGGCTTTATCATCTTCAATGTAATAATCTCTGGAAATAAACACAATTTTCTTCTGATTGGTTAAACATTTTAAATGAAACAGAACGCCAAGGGAGGCCTAATGAATACTCCTTATAACTAGCTAGAACGAAATGTTTTTTGTGCGGCGGAAAAAATAACCATTTGCCCATGCATATTCTTATAGCACAAGCTCTTTAAAGCATAATTCTTTTCTAACTTTTATATCGTGTTGTATCAAAATAAATGTGTTGACACATTGCTGTGTTGTGGTGGCAACAATAATAATAATCGTTTACGCAGTCGCGGGCCACACAAATGAGGCGCCTTGACGTTGTAACGAAAAGCGTGAGCAACATTTTCATTTCATTTTCATAATTCGGCCATTTGAAAAATCTCTCACGCGTTTGCAATTATGTGCGGATTTTTCATTTCATTTCTTCATTTCAGTGCCGTTGCGGCCGCGCCGTAGGGGCAGCTTTTGCCGACCTCGTTTGATGTTGCTGTTGTTGTTGGGGCAGGCATGTCTGTGTGGGTTGGGGGCGTGGCCAACTAGTTGGTTGTTGCACATTTATGCGCAACCGCATTTCAAAAGCAATAAATATTTCAGCTTTTCGCTGAAGTTGCACAAAAAACTGAAGAAACTTTGCTCATTTGCGCATGCCGTGAGTGGAAAGAGCCACACATTTTGTGCAGCGGCAAAAATGAATTAAGAATCGCACACAAAACAACAAATTAAAAGAATTTTGTAAACTTTTAATTCTATGCGCGCCACACCCACAAAGAAGGAGGGGGGAATGGAGTGGAGTGGAGAGCGCTGGAGAGAAATAAAACAGGACCCTCCTTTTGCAAGCAAAACATTCAATATTTAAATAAAAAAGTTTACAAAGTACATGCATAAATAATTTTTTGTATTTTTCTGCGCTGCTGTAAATAAATAAATATTTCACACGCTCCTCTTTATTGAAAAGCGTTATATTCTTTTTATATTCATGAATGTTGTTTCAGCGCTTGCCTTTTTTGGTCTGTTCTGCTAGTCGCACTTTTTCAACTTTTTATTTTCGCAAGTAGACTGTTCCTTGTGTACTTTGGCAATATATTCTTTTGCAACTCGATTTTCTGCAACTTTGCAACAGCTTGTTATTATTTTTGCCATTGAATTGCGCAACTACGTAGGTCGTCGTTTTCCCAGCTACCCATCCAGGAAGCTAGCCAGCGAGTTTTCCTATGAAAATTAATTGCGCATTTATATCAGAGAGAGAGAGAGAGATAGAGAGCAGTTGTTCTTTTTGTTGTAGTTGTTAGTGGCTTTTCTTTTGATTTTTTTCTCCCTTTTGTCTGTTCGAACTAACCCTTCGTACCGCTGAGATTTCAGTTGTGGATAAGGTGGTCTGTTAAATGCGCAGAATATCCTTACATTAGTAAGAAATAAATGTAAATATACGGGCATTTCCTTCTTGTTTTTCGCATGAAAGGTAATTGCTACATAATTAACCCTTACATGCTTATATTATATAATCGGATCAGGCCTAACATTCTTCTGACAACTAATAGGTTCATTTATTGCACGTATTTAAATCCAATGTAAATACCTATTTAGAGTCCAACTGATATAGAAAAATGCAATTTTTGAAGCAGTAAAATTTCCATGCTACACGAATAAATACAGAAAATGTGTAAAGATGGCTGTAAAATAGTAATCCACACTCCTTACTTTTCGCAATTCAACCCAAATACTTGAACCAAAAACACCAACACTAGCATTTGCGATCAGCAGCTTTAATCGGCAATAAGTGGCAGCTTTATTTGGAAAGCTGTTGAAAAATGCATGAACATTGCAGCACACTTGCAGCTACAAATATTGTACGAGTATGCTTTAAAACGCCATTTGTTATTTGCGCGAGTGTGTGTTTTTTTCAATATTTATTTTTTGCACACGCCCGACCCACATAATTGAGTGCTCTTTTATTTTACATGAAAAATTAATGGACCAGCTCTACATAAATACAATGAAAACTATTAATCAATAAGCGCTCATATTCACACCAATGCTCACACCCATACCCACACCCACAGTCACAAGTGGCCGCCTATAATGGGGGGAAACGAAAAGTTTTGCTTTATAAATTTAATGGAGTTATAAAAGCAGCAGCAATTATATATTTGAGAAGTTTTTACAGCTTTTCATTTTCATCCTGCTACGCTGCATACTCGTACTTCCCTCTTCTTTTTTTTTTTTAGATTTTTGAAGTAGGCCTTTTGTTTTGTACTAGCAGTTCTAGCGCAGAGCCCGGCGGCTGCCCTCGCCAGATTCACCGATGCCGAAACATAAAAAGTCTGGAGAAAATCGCTGAATCTGGGAGCAGAAAAAATATAAAATAGCAAGTACATGCTGCAGGGCGCTGTGGGCACAATAGCGCAAAAGTTTCAAGTGGACTCGCATGGGCTGTGCATACTATATGTACTGCTGTACACCTACATGTAGTATATAGGTATGTGGACCCTCACGTATCTGTACAGTCGAGCTTTCCTATAAAGAGTTACGTTCTCAGTTTCATTGGGCATGTGGGTATATTTGAAAATTTAATTTAATTCACTTTTCCTAAAAACATCATGAATTTACAAGTGAGGTAAGGATATCCTAATGTTAAGAGTACAGGCAGCTTAGCCTTTTCTACTTAATTAAATTAAATGGAGAAATATAAAAGGTTAAACAACAATTGTGACAGCGGGATTATCGGGAAAAGTTTTACAAAAAACCTATAATTCTAATGACTTGAACCTAACTTAATACAAGTATTGTACTATTTATAAATTAAATATTATTTATATGCAGGTAAATATCCATTCTGCAATCCTCTCTGCAACTAATTCAACACATATTTGAAAAGATTTCAATAAAATGTATTATAATCGAAATCAGAATTGCTAAAATGTAGCCAATTAATAAAATATATAGAAACATTTTTTTAACGTTCTAAATATTTAAGATAGCTTCTGATATGTCTTTAATTCCATTGGGAAAAAACTCTTTTATCATTGGTTTTGAAACCTTATAAAGTGCTGGACTAAAACTGAGATACATCTATAATCTATCTAAAACAATAATCTACCTCTCCAATCATTATCAATTATTTTATATTTTATAAATTCTTGATGAAATTCTTCATGAAATATTTTTTCATTAGCTCAATAATCAATTTTTAAAAACTTTATGCATTCCCCTATTTCATGCCCCAGATGTAATTTTATTACAAAGTTATTTTATATTTTCTTTTAGGCATTAGTTCTTTGTTATATTCTGACATTTCTATGCACCGCTCTTTTATAAATATTTCACATCATTTTCTAATTTCCTAAAATTATTTTATGGGCCAATAATATTCACTTTTGATGCTTTTCTCATCTATCGTTTAGTTTCGAAAAATGGAAATTCCGCTGATAAAAGCGTATTTTTTTGTTGCACATTTTAATATTTTTGTTGTAGGTATTTCTATTGTATTTCTGTGAATTTGTAGAGTTTTAAACATAAAATGTAGTTGTTCGTAAATTCGTTGTAGAGACGAAAAATGACGTTGGCATCTGCTCAGCGCTGTGTGGCACATATTCCACTTTTGCCTTTTATTGCATGTTGGTTGGAGGAGCTCGACGCTCCGGCTCGTGGGACTCCCGCTCCCCCATGTATTCCATTGTTTTAAAACAATGTTTCCCATTTGGCTAAGCTCTCTGCTTTTGATTTGCTATCGCACTCGCACCCGCCATTGTATCTACGCTTTAACATTGTTTTTGTGTGTCG